CTTGGTTCCAGCTATTCTGCCTCAGTCTCCTGAGTAGTTGGGATTACAGGCGGGCACCACCCCACCACCACGCCTGGCTAATTTTTGTATTTTTAGTAGAGACTGAGTTTCACCATGTTGGCCAGAATAATCTTGAACTCCTGATCTTAGATGATCCACCTGCCTTGACCTCCCAAAGTTCTGGGATTATAGGCATGAGCTACCACTTTCAGCCTGATCATCTTGTCCTTTTTTTTCTTTTTCTTTTTTTGAGATAGAATCTCACTCTGTTACCCACACTGGAGTACAGTGACACACTCACAGCTCACTGCAGCCTCCAAATCCCAGACTCAAGCGATCCTCCTGCCCCAGCCTCCAGATGTACAGGCATGCACGATCATGCCCAGCTGATTTTTAAACTTTTAGTAGAAATGGGTTCTCACTATGTTGTCCAGGCTGGTCACAAACTCCTGGCCTCAAGTGATTCTCCTGCTTTGGCTTCCCAAGGTGCTGGGATTCTAGGCATGAGCCACCATGCCCAGTCTCATTTGTTTTATCAAGTTTTCATCACATTGACTTTTTTGAGAAGTCCAGGCCAAATTTAAACTTAATTTTGTCTTTTTGTTTTGACTCGGAGTCTCACTCTGTCAGCCAGGCTGAAATGCAGTGGCACAATCTCGGCTCACTGCAACCTCCACCTCCCAGGTTCAAGTGATTCTCCCACCTCAGCCACCCGAGTAGTTGGGACTACAGGCGTGCACCGCCACGCCTGGCTAATTTTTGTATTTTTTAGTAGAAATGGGGTTTCATCATATTCCCCAGGCTTCTCTCAAACTCCTGATCTCGTGATCCGCCCACCTTGGCCTCCCAAAGTGCTGGGATTATAAGCATGAGCCACCGCACCCAGCCAATTTTGTCTTTTTATCAGTGGAAAAAGTAGCATATTTATATGGAGGGACAAAGATGAATCAAATAGGAAGAAAACATAAAAACGCACTGGCGTTCAAAGCTTCACCTTCCTCTCTCTGTATAATGAGTCCTCACTCTCCCAGCAGCCCACGCCTCTGCCCCAAACCTCCCATGGATCCCATGAGTCTGGATAAAGTTCAACGGTCTCAATACACCCCAAGTGTAATCAGCCCCTCCCACCTCTCCCTCATCCTCTCACACTGCAAGAGTCATTTATTGTACCTCTAGTTGTGCCTGGTCATGCAGACACTTTGCTGTTCAAATGCCCTCACCCCATCCTCACCCTACTCCCAAACCACCTCCCTGCAGAATCCATGTTGCCCACCAGGTGGCCACAGGGACCCTCACCATACTGTCCGCTCGTGGCAGTGCCCTCAGCCTGGTGGGTCTTCCAGAGCAGATCTCTGCCCAAACACAGTGACTCACATCTGTAATCCCAGCACTTTGGGAGGCTGAAGCAGGTGGATCACTTGAGGTCAGGAGTTCAACATCAGCCTGGCCAACATGGTGAAATGGCTGTCTCTACTAAAAATACAAAAATTAAGCAGGTGTGGTGGCACCCACCTGTAATCCCAGCACTTTGGGAGGCTGAGGCAGGTGGATCACCTGAGGTCAGGAGTTCAAGACCAGCCTGGCCAAGATTGTAAAACCCCATCTCTACTAAAAATACAAAAATTAGCCAAGATTGTAAAACCCCATCTCTACTAAAAATACAAAAATTAGCCAGGTGTGGTGGTGTGCGCCTGTAATCTCAACTACTTGGGAAGGCTGAAGCAGAGAATTGCTTGAACCCGGGAGGCAGAAGTTGCAGTGAGCCGAGATCATGGCACTGCACTCCAGCCTGGGCGACAGAGCAAGACTCCATCTCAAAAAAAAAAAAATTAGCCTGGCATGGTGTAGTCCCAGCTACTTGGGAGGCTGAAGCAGGAGAATCTCTTGAACCCGGGAGGTGGAAATTGCAGTGAGCCGAGATCGTGCCACTGCACTCCAGCCTGGGGGATAGCAAGACTTCCTCTCAAAAAAAAAAACAGCTGATCTCTGAATTAAGCTGTGCTGGCACACAGTGAGCTTCCAGAAACCGTCCCTTAACCTGTAAATCCACCAAGCCCCAGGGAACATGCCCACCCTGTGCACTCGTGACAACGTCCCAGTCCCAACACCGTACCCTGAAGCTGTCCCCAAAGGTTCCTCTGCCACCCTCCCTGACCACTCTCTGGTATCTCAGAGCCCTAGCAACAGCCCTATAGAGGGAGGGTTCCAGGTATGGGCGGGCACCGAGCGTTGTGCTTACAACCAAGGAAAACACTCCCTTTGTGCCAACATAGGTGGGGCAGGTCACATTGGGGTCTGTTTGCCCTATCTACCCACTGCAGCCTCTCAGTGAGTACCAGGGCTGTCTGGGCATCCTGTGAGTCCCAGGGTCTGTGTGCACATGTGTGTGTGTGTGTGTGTGTGTGTATGTGCGTGTGTGTGTGTGTGTGTGTGTGTGTCCACTGAGCATCTGAATTTGTCCTAAGTGCTGTCTCAGGTGTCCTTGAGCTGTGTGTGTGTGTCCCCCCTCGAGGTATCTCAGTATTTTTGCCTGTGGGAGCCACACACCATGAACTGCACAGCTGAGGGCCCAGTTGAGTCCGGGGCTGGTCCTGTGCCCTGCATCTGTGTGCTGGCGGTGTCTACCTATTCCTCTGTGGGTGCATGTATCTGTGCACCCCAGAAGTGGGCAGTCACCCAGAGGACCTCTCTATGGTGACCCCAATGGATGGATAGTGAGATGGGATAATAATATGTTCTCTCTCTCTTTTTTTGTGGTCACAGGGGTTTGTTGTACAGAGGGACAATATGTTCTTCTCCCACCCCCAAGCCAGGCCCTTTCTGCCCCTGCTCCTCCCACCCTCTGGTGTCTCAGTCCTCAGGGGCAGGTGAAGTGAAGGATAAGTTCGGGGACACCAGATAAGAACAACCAGGAGGCTTCCAGGATGCTGGAGAGGGTCACAGCAGTTTCGGGGAGAGCACCAGGAGGGGACTCTGCACCCCTGGGGAAGGGATGGGCTAGTTCTGAGTCCCTGGGAGGAGTGAGTGGGGCCCTGCAGAGTGTGCTGGGGTGCAGAGTGTGGGTGAGCATTAGAAGAGTGACCTGGGGGCTGAAGGGATCCCAGGACTTGGGGAAGGATGGAAAGCCAGGGCTGCTGCGTTTCTAGGGAGGGCTGGAGGAGCCCCGGGAACTCCTGAGCTCAGGGAAAGTCCCTTCCTCACTAACCCTCGATGGACCTAGGGCCAGGTCCCAGCAGCAGCAGCAGCATGATTGGCAGGCACACAGGTAGAGGTCCCATTGGAGAGTGGCAGGTGTGGGACTGTACTACTGGGATACTGGAGACACAAAGCCTGGCCAATCCCCATCCTGGCCACCACGCCTGGCCCTACCCCCGACCTCAACTTCCCTGGGGTCAACGAGGAGCCAGCTAGGGGTGGGTACTTGGGGTGGTGCAAAGGCACCCTGATCTCTGCATCTTGGTCACTGAAGGGACTTGAGAGGCCACCAGGGCGCTGGGGACAGAACTAGGAGTCAGGCCTCAGGAAGTCTCCTCGGAGTAAGGGAGCAAAAGGCACTTCTTTGATGTTATTATTCCCCCAGCCCTTCCCGTGCTCACCTGGACACCCAAAGGGAGCAGAAGACTTGGAGGAGGGGTAGTCCTGAATTTACATCAACATTTTATTTGGCCGGGTGCAGTGAATCACACATCCCAGCACTTTAGGAGGCTGAGGCGGGTTGGATCACCTGAGGTCGAGAGTTCGACACCAGCCTGACCAACATGGAGAAACCCTGTCTCTACTAAAAATACACAATTAGGCTGGGTGTGGTGACTCACCCCTGTAATCCGAGCACTTTGGGAGGCCGAGGCAGGTGGATCACCTGAGATCAGGAGTTCAAGACCAGCCTGGCCAACATGGTGAAACCCTGTATCTACTAAAAATACAAAAATTAGCCGGGCATGGTGGCATGGGCATGGAATCCCAAAAGCTCAGTAGGCTGAGGCAGGAGAATCTCTTAAACGTGGGAGGCCAAGGTTCAGTGAGCTGAGATTGTGCCACTGCACTCCAGCCTGGGCAACACAGCAAGACTCCATCTCAAAAAAAAAAAAGCTGGGAATGGTGGCACAGGCCTGTAATCCCAGCTACTGGAGAGGCTGAGGCAGGGGAGTCACTTGAATCCGGGAGGTGGAGGTTGCAGTGAGGCAACAAGAGGGAAACTCCATCTCAAAAAAAAAAAGGCCAGGCACCATGGCTCACGCCTAGCACTTTGGGAGGCCAAGGTGGGCGGATCACCTGAGGTTGGGAGTTCAAGACCAGCCTGATCAACATGGAGAAACCCTGTCTCTACTAAAACTACAAAATTAGCTGGGCATAGTGGCACATGCCTGTAATCCAGCTATTTGGGAGGCTGAGGCAGGACAATTGCTTGAACCCAGGAGGCCGAGGTTGCGGTGAACGGAGATCACACCGCTGCACTCCAGCACCTCGACTCACTTCAACCTCCGACTCCCAGGTCCAAGCAATTCTCCTGCCTCAGCCTCCCAAGTAGCTGAGACTATAGCCACATGCCACCATGCCCGGCTAATTTTGTGTTGTTAGTAGAGATGAGGTTTCTCCATGTTGGTAAGACTGGTCTTAAACTCCTGATCTCAGGTGATCCACTCGACTCAGCCTCCCAAAGTGCTGGGATTACAGGCAAGAGTCACAACTCCCTGCCTAAATTTGCAGGATAATAAACAGCCTTTTGAAGAACTGCTGGGCACTTGTCTGGTTGTTTTTCTTTAGGTTAACATGTCAGCAACGATTTGTTTTGACTTTCTGACCAAGATAGCAGTTTTTATCCAAATAAGTCAACTACTTTACCCCATCCCTAAGCCACTTGCATGAAAGGAAAAAGGAGGAAAAAGCTAGTACTGTGACTGCCTACACTTCCCTCAGCATGGCCCCCTGTGAGACATGGGGCAACCAAGACCCGGGAACTGTTTGAGGTCACCAGGCCCCGTCTGTTTGCACTCACTCACCTTCCTTAGGTACTCGCATGGGGGATGGCACTGACTACATGCTGCTGCAGCTCCTTGGTGAGCTGGCCCTGGTCATGGGACAGGAACTGTGGGGTCAGGACAGTAGAGGGCTTCACCACCTGCAGAATGGGAACAGAAGCTCATGATGAGTGCCAATCTATTAGATAATTAAATTTTTTTTTAAGTTTGTTGAATGAGTTGAAAAACAAGGCGATGCTTGCGTCTATAGTGGTCAAGAGCATGGGGGCCTCAGAAAAGGTCAGAACCAAGTTTAAACTCCTGTACTTTGAATTTCTACTTCATGCCATGGAAAATTACTTTACCCCTCTTCACCTCAGTTTCCTTCTGTGCAAAATGGAAACAATTTCATTCCTCATTCAGTTTCTGTCAAGGATTCTAAAACACCCAACTCATTTAAATGTATCATCATTTCTGTCATAACTAGTGGGATCAATTTCACTATTATTGAATATACAGTTCTGTCCCTGAAACCTACAAAGAAGAAAATCTTACATCTAAAATGTGTCCATGATTTGTCATTGTTATTTTATTAGTCATAACCATATTTAATCACACAAGGCCTTGTTCATGGCAGGTGCTCAATAAACACTTGCTCAATCAACGCATGTGAGCTCGGCAGCCACACTGTTTAGGTCCTATTCGGCCTACACCACTTACTAACTGAGTGATGTGGGCAAGATAATTCATGTCTTTATGTCTCCATTTCCTTCTCTACAAAAGATACATGATAAGCATCCCTAGCTCCTTAGGTTGTTGCCAGGGGTGAGTGATTTGGAAGATAGTAGGGGCTTGTTAAACTTTAGCTGTGATGAACTCCTTCCAAATCTTCCTTTTCAGAGCCACAGATGAGGTTAGAGTGCTACCTGGTGACCCTAGAGTGTAAGTACACATGATCACCAATATGCTCTCTCTCCACCATAGGTACAAGACTGGGTAGTTACCTCCCATAGGTTTCTGCCTGCGTCTGCCTTCTCAGTGCTCATGTAAAGACTTTTGTATTTTCCTCCTCGAATTTCCGCAGATGGAGTTCAGGTTAACCGACACAGCTGGGTGATCCACGCAGGCCCTGTGACATTGCTGGAGGACCACTGTTCCTTCCTTCTCATGTTCTGGGCAGATGCCAGGGCTGGGGTGACCCATGCCCTCAAGTTTCTTGCTTTGGACGGTCACATTTTCTGTTGGCAAGGAAGGCAAAGGTCATAGGAAGCCAGAGACCCATGACCTCTCTGTGTCGTGGTTTCAAAATATAAAGCTTCTCGCTTCATGGTTTCTGGTGAGGGAGGATGAATACTATGTCTTCCCAGAGCTTTGGGAGCTTGTAGCAAGCAGCCTCCCCAGCACGAAATCTCTTAGAAACCTCGAACTGTGTCTAAAACATTCCTGCACATTTTGAATCCTATTTCCCACATGTCAGCATGTTTTAGGGGGAAAAAAAGCCTTAATTTCCTAAATATGCAAGAGAAATGGATATTGTAGGACAATGTGACACTAGTCCGGGCATGGTGGCTCATGCCTGTAATCTCAGCACTTTGGGAGGCTGAGGTGGGCAGATCACCTGAAGTCAGGAGTTAGAGACCAGCCTGACCAACAAGGAGAAACCTCATCTCTACTAAAAATACAAAATTGGTCGGGTGTGGTGGTGCACCCCTGTAATTCTGGCTACTCAAGAGGCTGAGGCAGGATAATCATTTAAACCTGGGAGGTGGAGGTTGCGGTGAGCCGAGATCATGCCATTGTACTCCAGCCTGGGCAACAAGAGCAAAACTCCATTTCAAAAATCAAACAAACAAAAAAACTGAGTCTCAGAATGATGAAGCACTTGGTCCAATGTGACTCAGCTAGTAAGTGTTGAGACTTTCCATCCTATCAAAGCCCATCTCATTCTAAAGGCCATTCTGTGTGTTCTCTGGCCCATGGAGAATAATTTTAACACAATCAATGAAATTTTTACACAACAATGTTCTTGTCTCAAGTCCAAGAGTGCCTCCTATACTTTCTATAGCACTGGCTTTCTGGTCACTAAAGATGCCATTCCAACGTGTAATTATGTGGTCAATGGAGATATGACCAATGTCATCATGTGTGTATACCCATAACCCTGTACACACTCTTCCTTTGTCTGATGAAAGTCAAGTACCCTTTTTGATTACTTAGCAAAACTGAGCTTTAAAAGGGTTAAGGTTTCACCAGGCACGGTGGCTCACGCCCATAATCCCAGCACTTTGGGAGGCTGAGGTGGGTGGAACACGAGGTCAAGAGATCAAGACCATCCTAGCCAACATGGTGAAACCCCATCTCTAGTAGAAATACAAAAATTAGCTGGGTGTGATGGCGCGTGCCTGTGCTCCTAAATACTCAGGAGGCCGAGGAATGAGAACTGCTTGAACCAGGGATGCAGAGGTTTCAGTGAGCTGAGGTCATGCCACTGTACTCCAGCCTGGTGAAAGAGCAAGACTCTGTACATATACATAAAGAGTTAAGCTTTTTAAATCCATGGAATTTAAATCCATACATAAGCTTTTTAAATCCATGGAATTTTCTGTATTGCTTTTAAAGTCTCTGGTTAAATGAATATTCTTCTAATAGTGACCTGTGATTTTGTTTTGATCAAGTGTTTTCAAACTTGACATCTTTGACGGGTTTCTCCAGCATCAAAATCCTAAATCAAGTCTTTTTGGCTTAAAATTAACCTTGGGATTTTTCAGCTGGGTCCCTCAGGGAGTCTAATGAATGTGTCTCTCATTTTGTAAAGATATTAAATGATCCAATTTAGTTGGTAGATTATATGGGTGGGCACTGTCAAATGTGGTGATGCTGCGTGGGAGGACATTGTCAAATTAGATCTCATCTCAGTTATATGTATGGGTATGTTGTTGATATACGTGTTCCAAAAATTATATACATTTATACAAACTGAATATGTTATGATTTATAATTTTGATTGTTATGCTAAATATTTGCTAAAGTTATATTTGTATAAACATGTTATTGATATCTGGGCACAGTCACTCACGCCTGTAATCCCAGCATGTTGGGAGACAGAGACAGGTGGATCAACTGAGATCAGGAGTTCAAGACCAGCCTGACCAACATGGTGAGACCCCATCTCTACTAACAATACAAAAATTAGCAGGGTGTGGTGTCAGACACCTGTAATTCCAGCTACTCGGGAAGCTGAAAGGGGAGAATCACTTGATCCCAAGAGGCGGAGGTTGCAGTGGTCTGAGATCACACCCATTGTACTCCAGAATGGGCAACAAGAGTGAAACTCCATCACAAAAAGAAAAAAAGTATAAAAATTAGCCTGGCATGGTGGCATATGCCTGCAGTCCCAGCTACTCGGGAGACTAAGACAGGAGAATTTCTTGAACCCAGGAGGTGGAGGTTGCAGTGAGCTGAGATGATGTCATTGCACTCCAGCCTGAACAACAGAGCAAGACTCCATCTCAAAAAAGAACAACAAAAAAGTTATTAATGTATTCAGAGGATAATAAGAAATTTATAAAAATCTGGTGGTCCTGATGTGATCCTGTCAGTCAGGATTCTGGTTACTCTCTTAAAATGCTGCACATAGGACTACTAACTAAATTTCCTTGTGGATTGGAAACATTCAGCAGATTTTCATCATAACTATTAATCCCATCATCCACATTTACTGTTTCAAATTCTTCTCTAAAAATATTTGTAATCAGCAACAGTCCAAATTCAAATTTCTTTTTTTTTTTTAAGATGAAATCTTGCTTTGTCACCTATGCTGGAGTGCAGTGGCACCATCTCTGCTCACTGCAACCTCTGTCTCCTGGGTTCAAGCAATTATTCTGCCTCAGCCTCCCAAGTAGCTGAGACTACAGACACCCCCCCACCACCAGCTAATTGGTGGCAGTCGAGAGGGGGTTTCACCATGTTGGCCAAGTTGGTCTCCAATTCCTGACCTTGTGATCCATCATCCACCTCAGCCTCCCAAAGAGCTGGGATTACAGCCATGAGCCACCGTGCCTGGCCCCCAAATTTGCTTTTCACGGAAAAAACTCTACCAAGTCCTCTTGAACACAGGTTTCTGATAACTCACAACAGTGAACTACCCAGGCTTCAGCACTATGCAATATAGGCATGTCAGAAACTCACACATACACCCTCTCAATACATTGAAAATAAAATTTAAAAAAAAATCAAAGGCCAGGGTCCAGTGGCTCACGCATGTAATCCCAGCACTTTGGGAGGCCAAGGCGGGTGGATCATTTGTGGTCAGGAGTTCGAGACAAGCCCGGCCGACATGATGAAACCCTGTCTCTACTAAAAATACAAAAATTAGCCAGGCGTGGTGTTGCATGCCTGTAATCCCAACTACTAGGGAGGCGGAGGCATGACAATTGCTTAAACCTGGAAGCCAGAGGTTGCAGTGAGCCAAAATTGTGCCACTGCACTCCAGCCTGGGCGACAAAGTGAGACATTATCTCAAAAATAAAAATAAAAATCAATAAACTAAAAAGCAATTTCTAGAACTCTAATAAGTAAACTTCAGTGTTCAAAAACCTGCTAAGCAAGATGAAGCAAAACAAAAAATCCATAAAATTAAGATAATGCCTTTATAACTTGTAGTTAAAACATTGTTGATTTATTCTTTTTTTTTTTTTTTTTTTTGAGACGGAGTCTCACTCTGTCGCCCAGGCTGGAGTGCAGTGGTGCGATCTGGGCTCACTGCAACCTCCACCTCCTGAGTTCAAGCGACTCTCTTGTCTCAGCCTTCCAAGTAGCTGGGACTGCAGGTGCTCGCCACCACGCCCAGCTAATTTTTGTATTTTTAGTAGAGATGGGATTTCACCTTGTTGGCCAGGCTGGTCGCAAGCTCTTGATTTTAGGTGATCTCCAACCCTCCCTCCTCATGCCTGGGACTACCATAGTGCTGGGATCACAGGCGTGAGCCACTGCACCTGGCCCTTTACTTGTTTTGTTTTCTAGATTTAAGAAACTTTTTTTTTCATAAGTTATCTATAATTTACACCTATTTGGTAAAGCACACTTTTGTGAACAGGGGTGGGTGGAAGGGTTTGTTTTTCCTCCCTACTTGATCCCTCCAAAGTTTGGAACTTACTCATAAATATTCTTATTTTCTGTTCATATGTTCTCATTAATCGACAGGCAATAATCAGAGAAAGTGATTCTATTATCAACCTTTCACTGAAGCATCCTATTTAAGAATATGCAGAAAATGCCTGACCCGGAGTCTGCAGACTCACAGTGAGGAAGAAAGTGTCCTTCCCTGCAGGCCCGAGAGCCTTAGTGCTTTCCGGGAAGCAACATGGCAGGGAGGGTCCCGGCAGCTGCTGGCGGCAGGAACTAATGGGCGCAGCCGCGGGCTGACCCTCTGACGGCGGGGACCTTCGGCTTTCTGGTATCTTTCTCCTCCACCCCATCTGCTGCTTGGGGAGCGGCAGCCGCCCTGGGCCTGTAGGTCTCTCCATCGCCTCCACCTGCCGAAGGAAGGGAGAGGCTGTGGCGGCCGGAGCAGGGTGGGTAGCCTGAGACGAGAGCCTGGCTGGCCCCCACGGGGAATATGGCGACCCGGGCAGCAGAGGCCTTGGCGGCTGCACCACTAACTTCCCAGAGGAGCAAAGGCGCCTCCCGAGAAGATGCAGCCAAGTGGAACCCTGGCCCCGCCGCCCCAGGAGGGGGCAGCCGCAACGCAGCAGGAAGCCCCAGGCAGGGCGCTGAGCACCACCAAGCTCCACAGCAACCTCCAGGCGGCGCCCACACCATCCTCCAGGGGGCGCCCGCACCAACCTCCAGGGGGTGCTGTACCAACCTCCAGGCGGCACTCACACTAGCCTACAGGGCTGCACCTGCCGGCACCACACTGGGGCGGGAACTCTGCTGTTAGCCAGCCACACTGACCGGGGTGGCCCAGGCCCACAGCAGCTGGAGGACAAGCCCACGCCCACTGCCCCCGGGTAATGAGGAGGAGCAGGATGGCACCCTGGTGAAGTGCAAGAGCTCAGAGCTCGAGCCCCATGCCAGGAAAGGGCAGGAGCAGAAGATGGAGAGATGGAGATGGAGAAGCAGCAGGGGGAAGGAGAGGCGCTCCACTGGCAGGGTCAGCATCCGCTGGCAGGGTTAGAGCAGGAAGAGGAGGAAGTAGCAGAAAGAGCGGAAACAAGAAGGCGCAATGACACAGCCG